AAGTTCACTGAAAATGGATGAAGCCAGCAATGGAGATTTGTTGTTCTTTGAAAAAAATTCCAGATATAACTATTCGACTCATTCACAAGTATCGCTGATAAGTTTTCAAGTAGCCATAGCACGTCATTCCAGTATGATTAATCAGAAAAAGTGTGTGGGTGTGTATCTTCTCTTTACTACACCCACACCCACATCCACATCCACACCCACCAAAACACCCATACCCACCCACACCCCACACCCACACCCACCCACGCACCCATACCCACACCCAGCCACCCACCCACACACCCATACCTACATTCACACACCACATCCGTACCCACACCCACACCTACACACATCCACACCCACACCTACACCCATACACCCACACCCACCCACACACCCATACCCACCCACACACACCCATACCTACACCCACCTACACCCACACCCATACCCACATCCACACCCCACACCCGTACCCGTACTCGTACCCACACCCACACCCGTACCCGCACACACCCATACCTACACCCACACCCACCCACGCACCCATACCCACACCCACACCCTAATGAATGAATACTTACATCAGCGTTCGGTGATAGTGAAGCATTTCTGCGAATAGTTAAGTGAAATAATTGTAAAAGACGTATGAAGAAAAAAAATCAACAAGAGTTTCTGCGAAAAGTTAAGTGAAATAATTGTAAAAGACGTATGAAGAAAAAAAATCAACAAGAGTTTCTGCGAAAATTGAAAGTTGACTGAGGGAAGCTTTCAGTTTCAAGTGTTTCTTTGAACGTCATGATTCACATAGATTTTGTTGTCATATTTCTTTTTACGGCAGAAACACTACAAAAATTGTTAAAATCATCACTGCTTACATAGCTTAGCCATGTATATTGCTAGAGATTTGTTGTTATAGCGATATTTTGTGGTACAGAAAAGATACACAAAAATCGACCAGAATTTTCTCATTTAACAGGCTTAAATTGCCGAAATACGTTTTATTATAAATTGAATGATACATGTAAGATAAATTACGGTTACTTTAACTATATGTACAATCGATAGAAATATATAAGATTTATTTTTGAGATCACTCTCACAGTTACTGGTTCTTATGAGAATAACCTAAGATTTGGTTATTAGTTTGATCGATACAAAACTCCTTCAATGTGTTCAACGAAAACTGAAATGTATAACGAGTATTTGTTTTCTTCATTATATCGGATTTATAATACCATCGCACGGCCCGCGCAAATTTATCATACGTCATTTTTTGATTTGATCGTCGGCTTTTTACTTGTTGCCAAAGATTAGCAACGTTTTCAGGTTCATGAATTTGAAATATACCTTCAGCTTTGTTCGTATAAGATGCATAAAAAGCATAATATGGATTTTCAAGAAGAAGAATAAGAAACTCGTAAAGACGAGGTGGTCTCTGACGCTTAGAACTTTTATCCATAACTAACCATTCTTTTGGATCAATTGATATATTTTGCGAGTTATTGTCAACTACATTAAATGTTGGTTGTAGATCTTCAGATAACGTAAACGATTTTTCCATGAAAATATCTGAATAGTCTAAATCGAACGCTGAGAAACCTTGCTCATCAGCAAACATATCCATTTCAGAATCCGATAACATTACTTCTTCAAGAATATCAATACCCAATTTCTCACTGTTGTTGTCCATCATCATTATAAGGAATCAATATAACTGGAATGTGCTATACTGATAACGACAATAAAAAAAATATTGATGATGTTTATATCAAGTTTTCAACACAAGTTTCACACAAAATATGAAAGTAAGAGTGATTGAATCGATCTGTATATATATACAAACCATGATTCAACAATCTATGAATGATACAAAAGTATTTGGAAGATCCCAACTTGGTTTACCACACAAAGTAAATAAAAGAGGTTACCACTTGAGGCGAAAAGAGAACGTAAAATATGCGCGTGTCGATTAATTGCGTAATGATGTCTACAAATACATCACCCCGTTTACTTTCATTGAAAACACTTGGAAAATTCCAACACATCTATTAATACTTAAAAAATATTCCACATGAACCTGAGTAAGATTACTCATACAACATACTCCCTTATTTGTCTGCTTTGACTACAAACAAGTCATGCTGATTAAAACATAGTGTTCACAAAATATTTTTATAAATTCGTGACATATACATATTTTTACATTACAGATGGAAATTTCCACCTGTTATAATTCGAAGAAAAAGTATTGGCGTCATTCAATGACAAAATGAGTAAACCATTGCATAAGATTCCTTTTTGTCATGCTTGAGGCTTACGTATGATTCAATCATTAATAATCGTCTCACAACTGAGAGAGTTTCGATCAAGAGGGAAGTGCATGCACCCAGCACCCTATCACCTCAGCATCTGCTCAGCACTTCAGCACCTGTTCGGCACCTAGTCAGCACCTATAGCACCTGTTCGACACCTTTATCGAATTTACTATGAGCACCTTCGGCACCTTCAGCACCTTCAACCATTTTTTCACTATCTTAAGTACTTTTTCAGCACCTTGGGATAAAATTTAGTGCCTAGGCTCTGCCCTTTAAATTTTCTCGCAAGGTGCTGAAAAAGTACTTAAGATAGTGAAAAAATGGTTGAAGGTGCTGAAGGTGCTCATAGTAAATTCGATAAATGTGTCGAACAGGTGCTGTAGGTGCTGACTAGGTGCCGAACAGGTGCCGAGGTGCTGAGCAGGTGCTGAGGTACCAGGGTGCTGGGTGCCTGCACTTACACCCTTGGTTTCGATCTCATTGATATTAAGAAATCTGTCATCCAAAATATTTATCGGGTCAGACAGTTCTTTCCAAATTTCTTCTTCAATACAATTCAATCTAATCATTTTAAAGTAAGCGTTGCTATGTCCAGAGTGTTCCCCTCTGTACATAAGACGAAGATAAGATGTTTCTTCTAGTCTAACTGGCTTAGGACATCTGCCAGGATAGCAGAAGGTACGTGGTTCGAGTCCCATGAAGAGTCATCTTTTTCTTTGTTCAGTGGTCCTTCCAACTCACTGCATTGTCCTGTATGATTCATAAGAGCCACGAATCATAACAAGCGCAAAGGTCACAATGCAACTGTTTCAAATGTCTCGTAAATTATGGCACCATTTTTATGAATGAATTTCGGTCTAGATGAAACTAAAGAAAAGGAAGTCATAGTAAATTAACTGAAGTTTAGGATCGAAAATAATGAACACTATATATTTCCTAGCAGTATATCAATAATAAATGTTTTCCATGTCTTAAATGCAAAGATTTCAACAGTTTATTGTTAATCCAAAAAACATTCATTCAAATGGGTTTGTCTATCGAAGTCATCATCAGTGGATTGAGATGTCGGTCTCTGGAACATATTCTGAGAAAGAAAATATAGTTACAAAATTTCCAATTAATATTTAATTCATAAATTTCATAAGCATTAGAATACATCTGGAGTTTTAGTCAAATACAAGAGATTCTTTTTTGGTGTATCAAAAGTTTCAGAGATGATTCGATTTTACCAGGAAAGTTGGACAAACATTTCTATTGAATATTTAAGTTTTCAATCAAGAAATACAGATTTCAGTTGAAGTTTTTAAGATATTCTAATAATTGTTACGCGTATTAGAGTGGAAAATTTCAGACTCGAATTCTGCCAGGCATGTTATTGATAAATATTTTTCTACGACTTGGAATCTCAGTAAAATGATGATAACTATGGCAATAAGATTCATGAACGTATAATAGTCTAGACCCTTTTCAATCTGTCCGATAGCTAAGATCATTAATGATAACAAATCAGAATTGTCGAGAATCTTGCAGTGGTTTTCTTATCAGGTCATAGTATTGTTCAATTTCTGCAAACACTCTAGTGTAATACGTATTGATAAGAGACTTTTTACCATTATAGAAGTCCTTAACGACTTATAGCTGGAAGATTACATAGTTTTTTTTATTCAATTGACTCTGACAAGTTCACTGGTTACAATACGCCATTATTGTCTTTAGAATATATGAATTGGCAACAATTGTAAGAATACTGAATGCAAGCGATGTTCTATAACTATTATCGTCAAAACTGCGTATTTAACGACTCTTTTACTATATAAAAATCAATTGAAAATTCAATGTCCTGCAGCATATTCGATTCACTATGGGTGTGGGTGTGGTGTGGGTGTGGGTGGGGTATGGGTGTAGTAAAGAGAAGACACACACCCACACCCTTTTCATTATCTTGTGTATCACATGGCTAATATTTGAAAAATGTACCACAAATGTGTACACATCAGAGCCTATGAAAGTGTTTGAGATGGGCGACTTCCACTCGGATTTGGATTTTACCCTTTTTCTCATCAGAACTGGAATGACATTTTAGAAAATAGGAGTGAAACTGTGTGGAGTTGAAGTGACACATAGTGACGCTCTTCATCTCTACAAAGTAGTAATGGGAATGTGATGACGCATACCAACTTACAGTAAGAAATTATTCCGTGAAAAAAACAATTTGGTATATGTCACAATTGAAATTCAACAATCTCGTTTTTAGCTATGCACTGCATAATTAATTATTCCTTATTATTCAGCAAAATGAGTAAATGATGTTTGAAATTCTACAGCATCTCTATGAGACATTTTCGCAAATGTTTCTCTACTCACCTTGCAGTCCTCGCATGGAGTGTGATATACAATACAGTCAACATTTAGACGATTTCTCCAACTCAGAAGCAGTTTTTCAAAAGAAAAAAAAATTCCAGGTTTGTGTTGACTCATGAATCATGTAACGTGGTGAAAACAATAACAATGCTGTTGTTCGTAAGTAACCAGATACATAGTGAGTCACAAAAGCTAGTTAAAAAATGGCGAATTTATGCTGCATGGGTTTTTTTACAGCTTCTCAATTATTTTGTGTCATGATTAGATAAGATAAATGCTTGGTGAACAAGGAATGGTTACAGCATTCGAGTTGGGATATAAATGAAAATTTTCAAAAAACATACGAATGTCAAGAATATGGGTGTAGGGATGTGCAGTTTCAGTATACTGACCACCGATAAAATCACACTGGCGTTCACCGGTACGCTGATGACACTGACACTGCGCGCATTGTCTGCAGTGAAGCACTGACACTAAGTTCACTGTCTGCAGTGACATACTGACACTGAGCGCACTGACTACAGTGTCTGCACCGACATTTGTGTTCACGGAACCAGTGTATACACTGACACTGACTGCACTTGTTGCGCTGACGCATACTGGAACAGGGTGTGGGTATGGATGTGTGTGGGTGTGGGGTGTGGGTGTGGGTGTGGGTGTGGGGTGTGGGGTGTGGGTGTGGGTGTGTGGGTGTAGGTGAGTGGGATGTGAGGGTGGGGAAATCTTTCCGTTTCATCGGCTTCAGCACCCACATCCATTCCCACACCCACACCCACACCCCGATGTTTTTATCTTAGACCAGGAGCAACCAAAACATCTGAAACCTTCACAATAAACTATTCTCACTAAGGCCTATCTATATGAAAAGTTTCGGGCGGAAACTCAAAACTCACTTTTCCTGATGTTCCTGAGGGGGACCACGGCTTTTCCCAAAACACATAGTAAAAATGTTGTATCTCAGCAGCAAGAGGCTAGCGGCACAAACTCTTTCCAGAGACCTCATAGCTCATTAGGGCCTAGTGTATGCACTGGTTCAGTGTACACCAATATCAGTGCAGATAGTGGAACCAGTGCAGTCAGTGTCAGTGTATGCACTGGTTCAGTGAATATTAATGTCGGTGTAGACACTGCAGTCAGTGCATTCAGTGTCAGTATGTCACTGCAGACAGTGCACTCAGTGTCGGTGTGTCACTGTCAGTAATTCACTGTTTTCACCGAAACTGCACATCCCTATATGGGTGTGGGTTGGTGTAGATGAAAATGAAGAATAGACACCCACACTCATATGGGAAATCTACATCTACACTCACCCATTCACATCCACATCCACACCCACACTCCAACCCTTACATTCATGCACTTACACTCACATTCTATACTTCACATTTTCTCTTCTTTCCTTTTTTCCAAAGGTAGGCTGCAACGACTGCTTGCATGTTTATTTGTAGATTGAATCATGAAGCCATTTAAACAGAATACAAAATACGTTTTACAAGTGTCATTTTCAGGAAAATTCTAAAAATATGAATTAAATCCAAATCTTAGATGAAAAAAATTCTCGTGTTTCGAAAGTAAAATGCAATTGATGAATAAAACTTGCAATTTATAGATTATTTCAAAATATATTCAAGAAATGCTCACGTAAGCTTTTATTTCGAATTAGATTTATATATAAAATAAAATATTTTTTTTAGTTTTTGTTATAGCTAAATGTCGACTAGATTTTTCTCTTCATCGATTTCTGATGTAATATCATGCATTTAAATCATCATTGATATTCAAACTTGAATTAGGCAACTCATAAAGACGAGATAAACATCCATTGTGAAATATCTATATATAAAAATATGCAATAAATGATCGAATATTGCCTTATCTTTTATTAGTCTTTCAACTGTTATCAACAATTATTGACATTTTTTTCGAAGCAAATATTCTTTGATACACGTGAAAAGATGAAAGTACTATTTAGGATATCTACGAGTAATAGCTTAAAATTATTTTATGGCTTAAACGGAAATAAAAGAATAGAGAAATGTCAGAAGTCCCAATCGGTTTTTTTCAAGCTTTAGCAACAAATTGTTCAATCATTTTATAGACACATACAAGAATTTTTTACGATCACTTACATTAGATTCTAACTTAATCCATTTTCTTTATTGATACTGATTTCTATTCTAACAGTATTTATTCATTCATGATTGCTGTTGCTTGATGACTTTGAATAATTTATATACTTGTAACAAGAATTCAATAAAACGGCACTAACTGATATTGTAATAACAATTTAACTATTGTTTGTTTTTACTGCTACTTTCAAAATATCTATCATAAATCTATAGTGAACATCTAATGTGAATCTATCCACACTTACATACTGAAATGGCGTCCAAATAAGTTTTGCTATGCTGAAACTACTACATAAAAATAGAGCCTTGCTTCGAGTCTTGATCATTGATTCTCTTATTTATAATCAATCTCATGCACAAAATTCAATTGAAATTCTCGCAACATTAATAAATACATTCGCTCAACTATGACAGTTATTATATTATAGTTATTATTGCAACGTGATACAAGAATAAAAATAGACTTGAATTCATATAAGATCGTATTTCATATATTTGCACAACATTTCATCGATATGTAGTGAAATATAATAATTCACAATAGCATCAAATCAGAATCCAAATTTCTTCGAAATAAATATGTCCCTTGTTTCATAATAGAATAGAAAATAAACACAAGCTGATAGTATGTAGTGACTTTAGCAAATGAAAAAATGTCAACCCTACGAAGTCCAAGTTTTCGACTTAGAAAAACTCTGAAATTCTTTTTAGTCTATTAAATAGGTTTAAACTTCGACATTAATTCCTGAAAACATTCTTCACAAATACTCGGACTCTAATTTTAAAAAATGCCTCTAGTGATGGTATTTTTATCTACTCTTCATTTTAATCCATACGTACATCTACACCCTCAATAATATGGAATAACAATTTGAAGTACATATTTATCACCAAATTAAAGCCTAAAATACTTTTTGAATCACTTACAATATATATATATCAGATTCGTTCGTCATCATTATTACCATTAGTGTCAATTAAAAGTAATAAAAACGATCATTAGTATTGATGTAAATTGTCAGAAAATAATCAACAATAATCTTGCATCTATATATTCACGAGTCTTCTTGATTAAATTACATTTTTTATTCAAAACTAATACTTCATTTTCAACTTTTCTATTATTCTTCAATTTACAATTATTGATATTGATCTGTTTTTATACAATAAAACTGTTTTGCTTAGTAGTATAAATTTTTATTTACTATGCTTTAAATTTCAACTGGATCCATTAAGATCGAACATGTATCGTGAATCAAATTGAACAATATAATAAAACATAACTACCTTTCACAATTTGACTGACATTAAAGATTTCAAAACAAACTAAAGTTAGAAAAGTATTGAAAACTATCTTGTAAGACATATAAAAATATTTATGGGTAATATGAATCTGTTTGTTTTTTACTTAAAGAGTCTGATATTTTATTCGAATAAATAAAAAGAAAAGCATTTGTTCTGCCAAAAATATTTAACAAAAGATTTACAGTAGAGAGACTCTTCGTATTCATCACTATTGTCTTATATTCAGATATAATGTCATTATGAAATTGAATTTTTCTCCAAATAAAGTAACTAAACGATAGATCAACGATTACTTGATCGATTGAATTTTTTTGCGTAGTTTGACTCATCAATAAATGACAAGAAAAAATATTAGATATGCGTATGTTTCTCTGTTTAAAAACGAAAAATGACTATCTTTTGTTTTTCCGAAAAAAAAAAAATTTTTTCTTGGTATTGATATTATAACTTTTCGCAACAGAAAAACATTAGAACTATTTGTTTTGTTTTTTATATATACTCTCCAAACTTTCCTCTTTCAGACAACCAAATGTCGAAGTTAATTCGATGTTTTATTGCAGAGGAATTGATTTCAACATTCTTACAAAGACTTTTGCATCCTTTACTTATGAAAAGAAAAATACTAAATACGAATCAACAATAATAAGCAATATTTTACTTAGTATTTATTTTATTCAAATTCAATAATCACCTTCGAAAAAATTCCTATTCAAATTATGCCATCATATAGATTTATCATTATTCTCTACTCTTGAATAAATTTGTGTATCAGCTCTTTTAATTATTCAAAAGATGAAGAAAATAATTTTTTTATTTAATATTGATAAACTTCAACGTTTAAATGATTATTGATTTAATTTACTGGAATATACTTCCAATGATAATACTATTTTTAAATTAAGATCATCTCATGTTGCGCAAAGTGCGACGTTGACAGAAGTTGATGTCTATAGTAATGATACTTTTTTTCTTACTGTAGGACACTAGCTATGACATGGTAAAAGCATATCGAAGAAAAATATCAAACTCGTCTCATAGGTAAAAGAAAAGAAAAGACAAAATATAAATAAACATTATACTTCCTACCACGTGAAATTACACGTACAAAAGATTTTTACTCAAACCAAAAACAAAAAAAAAAATAAGAGTCAGTAGGAAATAAGCAGTGATTTTTTTATTTCTACATAGTATTGCTTACACATCAATTTGGTTTATCAAAATAAGGTCGTCAGTTTTCATTATTTTTTTCTTCTAGTATAAGGCGTTGAATTACAATTTGTTATTCAACAATGTCGGCAAATAACATACAAGATACTACTCACAGATTTTCTGATGTAGCTGGAGAACCATGTATTATGTTAGCACCAATCGAAGGTTTCAATAAAAAACCATTAGTTACACTTGAAGAAGCTACTAAACCATTAGAAAACATCGTTCCTCGTATTAGTACATATGTATATGTAGTCAAAGAACGTGCTAAAAATCCACCAGATGATCTTTCAGTTGATGAATCAGCTGCCATTGCATTATATACAATGGAATGGGGACCATATACAGAATCACTTTATTATATTCTTAATAACACATTACGCAGTGAAGATCGAAAAAGTTTGAAACCATGGTTTCTTTATCTTAAGCTTATCTGTACTGCTTTATCTCGTCTTCCATCGATAAATTTAACTGTTTGTTGTCCCGTTGAGGATATAATCGAAAGTGAACATGAAAAATATGAAGTAGGAAAAAGACTCGTTTGGTGGAGTTTTGTATCATGTTATAGGAGTGATGACACTTTCCAGAACGATTATGTTCTTGGACAAACTGGTACAAGAACATTCTTTATTATTGATTGTATGGCAGGAAAAGATATTGGAAAACATTCATATTATAGAAGAGAAAACGAAGTATTACTTTTACCTGCTACTTATCTTGAAGTTATTAGTTATGACTCAGTAGAAAATAATTTACATGTCATTTATCTTCAAGAAATTGAATCATCACATGTTCTATTGGAACCTGTATCTTCAGAAAAAGAAAGTCGAAGTTTAAGAAAAATGTCATCGTGGAAAAGTAAGGTACGAACACCAATAATATTTGCTACAGCTCTTGAACGTTATCGCACTGCCAGACTTAATGAATGGATTCTACGATGCAAGTCTGATTCTGATGCTTATCTAAATGGACAACATCTTACTAAATATGGTGTTCAAGTTGTTGTTGAACAATTATTGATCGATAAACATTGTCGAGTATTATTTGTAATGGAAAGTCATATGACACCTGAAGGAGCATTGATCATATCGGAAGCTTTACGTAATAATGATACACTAGTAAAATTATTTCTTTCTCACAATAAACTTGGTGATGATGGTACAAAATTTCTGGCTCGAGCACTCTCATGTGATAATAATTCAACTCTTAGAGAACTTTCTCTTTGTCATAATGGTATTACAGATCAAGGTGCTGAAGATTTAGCAAGAATGCTAGCATCAAATGAAACACTAACTCATTTATGGTTAGGATCGAATAAAATAAGTGATCTTGGTTTAGAACGATTATGTGAAGTTCTTATTAGCAAGAATAAAACTTTACAAGTACTTTCACTTGAATGGAATAGATTTCGTAGTTATACAAAATTTAATATTCTTGTTGATATGTTGGAACAAAATGAATCACTGATGTTACTTAATTTAGAAAATTGTCAACTGTTTAGACATGGTGTTGAACAATTAATAGATTCAGCGAAGAAAAAGGAAAATTTTGAATTACTAATAAACTAATGCTTATAATTTTATTTTGCTATTGCTTTCTTTATCTTTGCACAATAAAAATTCCCTATTCAATAAAAGCAATGTAAGTCATTAATAGAACATTAATGAACTGTTCTTCTTTCAATAAGTACAGGTCAGAAACTGGAAACGAATTGAATCGAATGAATATGTCGATATTCAATTTTCATGGTTTCATAAGTAACAATAAACTATAGATTATCTATTATTTTATTAAAAGAGTAAGATAAAATGTTAATTATAATCTCTCAATCTTTTGCTAAATGATAGTGCACATTATCCTATTTGAACAGCCGTTGAGTAAGACTTGAACTTGATAAAACTAAAAGGATTGAACAAATATTGTTTGCTAAGCAAAAATAGTCGGGGAATTCGGAACAGGAAAGCAAAGATTCGAATTTGGAAATGTAAATTTGTAATTAACACTAAAAAATTGACTTCATAATTTTACGTGAAACTGATAATTACATCGATGGAAAAAAGAAAACAATAGCAGTTTACAAGTTCTAATCAATTCTATGTAACTCTAAATAAACAGAAATATTAGTTACCAATGTATAACATTGACCGAAACCGAATAGAATAGAATATTAACTCTGCCAATCGAATGTAGGTCTTTCTTGAACGTTTGCAAATAGTATTGATCTTTTTACTTGACTAATCTACTAGGTCAATTATTGCTTGCATTTTTATTTTAACATAGTCAGATTCTAACGATTTATTTTATGATAGATAATAATTTTAGAAGAAGCAGAATCATGTACGACTATTTTCATCACGATATTTATTTTCACATATCTAGCAGGACTTTTTAGTTTTATACAATATGTAGCACTACTGACGTTTTTCACCTTTTTCGTCAATACATAAATAGGATTCTATTATTAGTATGACCAATGTTTGATTTTTCGATTCCATGATCAACAATACAGTTATAAGTAAATATAGAATTCACGATCAATTAATCTGCTACCTATCTTGATTTGTTAATTCACATAAAAACTGACATTGAACATCTGGACTGAAAAACTACGTATTGTGATTTTCGAATTCAAAGTTTGTGAAATTTATCCGAAAATGATTACGGATTACTAATATCCATTTCAAAATAAAAGATGGATGAATATGTGTGAAATAATTTTTAAAGAAACGAGATACCGATTTGTGATTTTAAACGCAAAACATTGTGCTATGTAAAATTTTTCCAATTTTAATTTTTACTAGTACACCAGGATCTTTGACTAAAGATCAATTATCTATACAAGTGCGGTGTTAAAAGGTTAACCTAACCACAAATTATTAACATTTTAATTCGTATTTTCAGCAAGATTTTTACAAAAAATTGACTTTTTTTCAAGGTTTTTGATAAAAAATCCACCTTCTCAGTCTACTACAAAGAAAAAACTTGTGAGTGTGAGTATTAACTTATACTAAATTATAGAATGAACAAATTTGTAAAGAACCGTGTACTGCTCTATCTTTCAATGAAAAGTTATAAAAATTTTATAGAAATCTCTATTGTCGACAAGTAGACTTTTTCTTACTTTCGCATTTCGTATAGGTTATAACTACATGATAGAAAGCTGTGCAACGGACAACTTTGTATCTATTTGTTTGAGCTATAATCCTAATGTGATAGTAAACACATATTCAAAGTTTTCTCGTCTGCAACTCACTGTCCAAAAAGTTGTTTTTTTTTTCAATAATCAAAAAAATTTATAGTTTCTCAAGAAAAATGTTAGACCATATCTGAAAGAAATGTAAAAGGATGATATCATGCAGATTCTGTAGCATATGTTTCAATTCAAAAACAAAGTTTTCGTGCTGAACTGTGTAATATGTATTTTAATATTGTGCCAAGATTTATTGCATAGAGGCTACTCATTATGTTAAAAACGATTTCATAGTATACATGCGTTTTAAGATGTTCACATGAAAAAAACAAGACTCAAGTTCATTCTATAATGAGATAATTTTTTTTTCTTTCGTATTTGTTTTTTGTCTAAACTTTCTATAATAAATCTTCTTCGAACATAAATAATGTGGAAGATTATTTATGTAGTATACAAGTAATGACACGTTATATTTAAACTAAATGCTAGAATGCAAAATAGACTTGGGTTATAGATCCAAAATCAAAACAAAATCTAAAACTCGAAATTTTTTTCTAGTGTATCGGAAGATTTAGTATCCTTAGTGTACATATGTATTTGGATTAGAGCCCTGCGAAGTCAAATTTTTTAACTGTAACTTCGAAGAACTTGAAAAATCTTTTTTGACCCTCATGAATACTTCTTTTTGTACGACTTTTCTATGAGAATGTCTTTCTCATGTTTTTTTTCGTAGCATCTGATTTATGAAACTATAACAGAATTTATTTTTATTCGTAATTTAACATATGAAGAATAAATTTGCTATCATGTAAAAGTAATATTACTTCACTGTTTTCTCTCCTTTAACTGTCACATCCACCCAGAGAAAATTCTTTACGATCATTTGAACACCGAGTTGGATGCAGAGTTCAAGTGTGGAAGCGAATGTCTGCTCTTCATTTAATTTAATACCTATACCTATTCACATCTGATAATCAACATATCATGTCGTTTTCGCTTTAATGGACTGCATTTGACTTCGATCTTCATTTAATACCTTAGTTGATTACGAGATATCAGTATTGAAACCAATTGTTTTTAGTCACAGGATATATAATGATTTAAATTACAAGATTTTATACGACTGAAATATTTTCTTAGGTCAAAGTTGCTTCGTTATTTTTATTTTTTGTGATAATTACTTCATCGCTAATAACTAATGACTATCTGCTTGTCGAAATAAAATAATAATATGAGATATATTTATCAACAAATTAAAGATTGAAACACTATATGAATCCATTACAATATATAGAAGATTCGTGTGTGGTTATTATGACCGTTAGTATCAATTAGAAGTAATAAAAACAATCATGAATATTCATGTAAGTTACCAGAAAATAACCGAAAATTATCAGATGTCTAAACCTTTGCTCATATTCTCGATAAAATTAATTCTTTTAATTAAAATTAAAATTTTCTTTTAAACTTTTGTATCATTCTTCATGTACAATTATTGATATTGATTGGGCTTGGTAATGTTTCGTTTAATATTTTAAATTTTATTTGCTGACCTTCTAATGTCAAATAGACACATTCAGAAAAGAATATTTGTGTAAATAAAATCGAGCATATTATAAAATACAACTACTTCTTACATTTTGACCAATACTAAAGATTTAAAAACAAACCAAAGTTAGAAAAATACCGAAAAACTATCTTAAAAGACATTTCTATATATCTGCGTAATATAAATATATATCCATATATAGATTTTACTTAATAAACTTGATATTTCGTTTGAATAAATAAAAAATAATGGGTTCTGTCAAAAAAAGTTAATAAAAGATTTATAGTAGAGAAGTTCTTCGTAGTCATCACTATCTTCTAATATTCAGATATAATTACATTATGACATTGAACGTTTTTTTCTAGAGTAACTAAACGATGAATTATCGATTATTTGATCGATTCATTTTTTCAAAATAGTTTGACTGGTTAAAAATTGAAACAATACTAGATATATATTTCTCTATTGAAAAAGAAAAATTCCAATCTATTTTCCTTCCAATGAAATCATTTTTTCATTGTGTTGATATTAAAATATCTGCAGCAAAAAAAAACATCATATTTAGGTTTTCGATTTGCGTAAATACAATGACATTCTATATAAAACAAAGACAAAATTGTATCATCGGAAAAATACCAGGGTAGGAAAAAATACCATACTCGTTTCGCAGGTAAAAAAAACGAAAAGAAAAAATTTAATGCATATTATGCGTCAGCACAACGTTAATTACGAATAAAAACTATTGGTATTCAACGAAAAAAAAATGTAAGACCCAATAGAAAAAAAAACAGCGTTTTGTTTTATTTCTACATAGTATTGGTTACGCATCAATTCTTTCATCATAATAATGTCGTCAGTTTACATTATTTTTTTCGTCTAGTATAAGGCGTTGAATTACAATTTGTTATTCAACAATGGCTGCAAATAACATACAAGATACTACTCACAGATTTTCTGATGTAGCTGGAGAACCATGTACTATGTTAGCACCAATCGAAGGTTTCAACAAAAAACCATTAGTTACACTTGAAGAAGCTACTAAACCATTAGAA